ACCCATGGATCAGGGTTAGGACAGAAGAGGTTAGTGATTTTTGTTTTTCATCACAAACACTTCTGATGTACTTAACTGGTTACCATGTACACATATGATTTGAGAAAGTAATTTAAACTTTTAATAGCACAAGTCATTCACTTTATGGTATTTGTTAGCTACAGAAGCTTCATATTTTCACACAGGAACCTATGCGCTACATTTCAAACACAGTCGCTGGTCCTTTTTATTTCTCAGAGTGTAGACTTCAGGGGTGTCTGGGTGGCTCAGTCAGTTAAGCCTGGGAGACTGGCTCTCAGGTCATGATATCACGGTTTGTGGGTTCCTGGTTTGAGCCAAGGATCTGGCTCTCTGCAGCCAGCACAGACCCTGCTTCAGATCCTAAGGATCCTGTCTCCCTCTCTCTGCCCTTGCCTTATGCGCGCGTGGGTGCGTGTGCACGAACTTGCACGCTTGCTCACACGCTTAAAAATGAACATTTTAAAAATAACATTGAAATAAAGGTATAGGCTGCAATTATAATTGGATACTTTTATTCAGGGAAACACCTTCTGAATGTTTGGGTACCTGATTTTTGTGTAAAGGCCCTGAACAAAGCAACAAACCTCAGCATTCTAAACTTATGCAATTCCCAGTGACATGTTACAATCAGTACGTTTAAAAATCATTACATAAATAATATAAAAGACACACGAGAACTTTGCAATAACAATAATAACCAACATTAGCCAACGGACATCTTGTGGCAGGACCTGGATCAGAAAATGTCCAGAATGGGATATTGCACAGGCTGTCTGTTTTTACAACCAACCACACTGCAGGTGAAGGAGAGCAAGTGAGAGCCCCACCTGCCTATCTCAGCTGAAGTACATACAGGAAAAGATTGCTTAACTCACATGTATGACCCAGGAAGAGAGAGTTCCTATAGCCTGAATTAAACACATACATGTATGCTCTCTCTCTCTCTCTCACACACACACACACACACACACACACACACACACACACACACATCCTCCTACAAATATTTTATCTGAAAAGATATCATCTCTTTTCAAGTTGAGACATAATCCAAAAGGATCAAACACAGGATCTATGTCAAAAACTTCTAGTACATAGAGGGAAGAAACAAGGATAAAAAAGCAAATGAAGAAAACTTGCTATGGAGAAGCTGAATATTGAGACAAAGGACTTTCCAGATCATTCAAAAGAATTATATCTTTATTTTAAAAGAGCTCAAAGCAGTAGATCCCAGCAAAGAATGATAACAAAAAAGATGATATATGAGCTGAAGAGCAAAACTGTACACTAAAGTTTGAATTGATCACGTCTAGATGTTTTTTCAACTTCCATCCTCAACACCGAGGACTCTGGACAAGCCTCCTGCTCCATGGAACAGATTCCATAAAATGGCTTTCACTCACTCATTTTACTCGCTGTAAAATATATAAGAAATAAAATCATAGTTCTCATTTTGTAATCATATCACAAAAGGATTGAGCAAGCAATTTACACAAACCTGTATTTTCCTTGTCTGCAAAACTGCTTATGAGAACATTTTTACCTTTTCTAGACTGACTTGGATGATATGATGATCAGCACTGGGTTATTTTAACCTTGACTCTAATTTGGAAGACAGGAATCCATGAGGAGTAAGATCAGTTTCCAGCACCCATTCCAACCAATTGTCTTATTTTTGAGTTTTGTAAAAACATTGGAGTAGTTTATGCTCTTAGAGAAAGAGAGACAATAAACAAAAGTTAAAGTAAACTCACAATGTGACATTACTTACTGGTTTCTCTTGCTGGTCTGCTGGAGTGCTTACTTTACGGGGGGATGAGCTCCCAAGCTGTCCTAGACACCAGGAGAAAAAGCCAAAGATGCTGTTTCTGGATTATGTGGTCTCGAAGATGGAAAGCAATAAGCAATCACCTATTCACCTTTAGACAGCTGCCTCAGAGCCTCCTTTCTAGACAGTACAGAGCCCGATGTGCGATATATTGAGATTTAAGTTTCTGGCATAAAGTATTTCTAAATCTTCCAGGGAACTGAAAATGGACTGCAGCAATTTACTTCTACTTTTCTGGGGAAAAGGTGCTAAAACCAAAACATGAATATTGAAAAGAAAAGATTTTAAATGTAAACACATTGACCTAAGTATTTAAAGGAAAAGACTCCTATATAAAATACCGATTTTAAGCAACTTTGGGGAAATTACCTTCTCTCCATAGCAGTATCTCTATATCTCCTCAAAATTCTAGAAAATATTCACTTGGAAATGTGATTCCTCGATGGCTTTTTGATGAAATAGTGGTGGCCCTAACTCCAAATTTCCTTACTCTCATGATGCCCTATCATTATCTGTCTCTAAACTTCTTTGGTCAGTAAAAAATGGGAAAAGAGAATTACAAAATTAAATGCAAAGTAGAGAAAATTGTTTAGATATTTAATAACAGCAAAAAATTATGTAAATCAAAATAAATGAATTCTACTAACCAAAGTACAAGCACATACTAATGCCAATAAAAATGCTAGTTTTTTTTTCCTCCTACATTCTTTCTTACTTATGTTAAACAGCAAAATAATTATCAGAGCAAATTTTAATGAAGGTGAAATATAAAGAAAAATATTTTCAAAATATAATATAGACATGATATCTTAAGAAAGTTTAAATTTTAAAGGATAAAGATGGATATGATAGATATTTGGCTAATAATGTATTGCAATATGCACATCCATGGTAGATTATCCCAATTTTGCTCTGGATATCCAGAGCAAATGGATCTTCCATGAACATTCACAATAGCCTAGATCGAATGCCTATGCAATTTAGGTAGAAGAAAAATATGGATTAGAAGTAACAATTGACATAAGATAATTTATACATGTACATTTCATTATATTTTTATATTGTATGTTTCTGATATTTACATAAACTAAAACAAACAAACAAAAACTCCCCACTCAGTTCTATCTAAAAGAGCATAGGCTTTTCCCTGGGGGAAAGTGGAATTACACAGATCACCACTCCTTAAACTCAACAACTATTTATTTAGTTGTGATTTTAAAAAGTAGGATAAGAATCCATTAATTCATGTTCCTTCTGGGAAAAAACATCTGATAACTACAGATAAGAAATGTTAATTTTCGTACTCTAAGCATAAACCAGTGCAAAGATATATGTATTGTTTGGTTTTTAAAGGACATTTAAAATTGGTTTTAAAATGCCATTTGCACCTGAAATTTCTGCTTAAAACTTATCAACAATGCTGAATGATAAAGTAGTAAGGAATAATTTATATTTCATGATCTAAGAAATAATGTCCCCAAAATGAAATTTTGCTACATTTCACTACATGGAAATTTTGGGCATAGTATTTGGTTGGGAAAAAAATAAAAACAATAACTGGGAGTTAAAAGTTTAAAAGATTCTATTGAGCTTAGGCTTTTGGGTGGCTCAGTTGGTTAAGTGCCCCACTCTTGGGTCAGGTTATGATCTCATGGCTCATAGGTTTGAGCCCCGCATCAGGCTCTGTGCTGACAGCTCAGAGCCTGGAGCCTGCTTCGGATTCTGTGTCTCCCACTCTCTCTCTGCTCCTCTCCCACTTATGCTCTGTCTCTCTCTCAAAAATAAATAAACATTAAAAAAAAAACAACTTAAAAAAAGGACTCTATTGAGCCATATGTTTTTATTTGATACTACATGAAATGTCTGCCTAATACCATATAACACAGCAGATTAATGATAGTCAGATAAATTATTATTTTTCTGTTCCAAGTGTGGGAATACTGGGGATTTTATATCTGGTAATACTGTATTCCATATGTTTCAATATTAAACACATATACACAACATAACTTTTAGGCCATAATATGAGGTGAACCAAATTTATATATCTCTTTCTAGTTGTTTAATGTATCTTTCCCTCTTCTTTTGGAAAATTCATTTTAGGAAAAGCTATGAGTGCTTGTATGAAATTATGATGTCACTTTTTCCAGAGGAAGGTCCATTTTTTGTTATCTCTACTTAAGGAATAAAAATTAACTGAACTTGAGAAATCAGAGTTATCATGTGTATTGTCCAAGGGGCAAGAGCTTTGGAGTAAGACAATGTATGTTTGTAAACTTAAGTAAGGTATTTAACTCCTCTGAACCACAATTTCCTATTATGTACCTAGATTATTATGCCATTCTTTTAGGATCGCAGGCAAGATTAGCTCAGAAAATAAGCTCTTAGCACAGAGCCTAGTACTCAGTGGGGGACAGCTGCCTAGCTATTTATAAATGTGTATGTGTGCATATACGTAATAAGAAGTAAAAGGATTTTATCTATGTTTCTTCTTTTCCCTCTTCCCCTCTTCCTCTCTCTTTCCCTCACTTCCTTCTTTTCTGCAACAGGGAAAGCTATCTGAGCCATAAAGGAAAAGGTATTGTGTGAAAGTGTCTCCTTTTCCTCTTCAACTATAGGACAGCTGTGGTTTTAAAAGCCATGGCCTTATGAACTAGCTCCCTGTATGCTCCAGGAAGGTAAACCTATTTGTTGTTGTTAACATCTGGTCTTTTTCAATGCATCACCAAGTTCTGTTGTGGTGGCGGGGGAGAGGCGGTGGAAGGAAGGAAAATTTAGCTTTGGCCAGGATGGGGTTGTTATATGGAAACCAACTTGACAATAAACTATTTTAAAAAATAAATAAATAAACATTTAAAAAAATAAATAAACATTAAAAATTAAAAAAAGAAGAGGATATTAAAAGGATACCAGGATTCAGACCCTGGGAATGACTGCCATTCCTAAAAGGAATTGCAGAGTATAATAGCTGGTTGGAAAATTTTGCTGTGAAAGATTCTGGAGGGAGGAAGACCTCTTTAAGAGACTCTATTCAAATGCCTAGGACCCATAATGTTTCCAAAAAACTGATGCAGCTGGTCATTTCATGAATCATTTAAGTGAGAACACTTGGTAGGCACATAGAGCTATTTCTGCCAACTCAATTTGTGAATAGGAATATTTCCCTGACTTTGTACAGAAGCCTCTTCTGTCATCTGCCCATTTACCATAACGATGAATATGAGACTTCCCATTCTATTTTAACAGCTACTCAATGCAGACATCTCCCACCAACTCTTGAGAATTTAAAATATCAACAGAGGTCACAAGACTCCCAACTAAGTTCAGAAGAGAAACTCCTGAATCTACATTTTAGGATAGAATTGGGTACACTAGGACACTGGAGAGTGAAGATCCATTATTTATTCATTTATTTTGAGAGAGAGAGAGAGAGAGCGAGAGAGCACATGAGTAGGGCAGGGGCAGAGAGAGAGGCAGAAAAAGAATCCCAAGCAGGCTCTGAGCCAGCAGTACAGAGCCCAATGCAGGGCTGAAATCAGGAACTGTGAGATCATGACCTGAGCTGAACCAAGAGTCAGACGCTTAACCAACTGAGCTGCCCAAGTGTTCCAAACACCCATTTTTAATACATACTTTATAATAGCTAACATCTATTTAGCTCCATGTGCCATGCACTGAGCTAATTAATTACACACACTGATTTTTCCAGTGTGTAACTCTGTAGGGTAAGCAGTACATTCTTCTTTATTTTACAGATGACAAAACGGAAGCCTAAGTCAGTCAGTAAACTGCAAGTGCTTCTGATGTGTAAGCAAATGACAGAGTCAAAACTCTATTCCAGGTGTGTCTGACCCCAGTGTCCATGCATTTAACCACTATATATGGATTAAAAGAGACCATTACTCCAGAAAACCAAAAGTGGAAAAGGGATGGAGGTGGGGAAGTGGAGAAGAGAAGTGGTGCTTCCCTTTCCTAAACTCAAACCAGTTAGACAGTTGCTAACCAAGAAACAAATTCTCTTGTATGACATAAATGAATTTAACTCTCTTGTTAAGCAAGCATAACTGGACATACATATGTCTGGCGGGATTGGTGTGTGTGTATTTCCCAAATGCATTCTTTTCATGCTTGGTAAGCAGTTCCTGCTTTTGCTGCTATGTTCTCCAAACCACTGATGCACGTATGTTGATTTCCATGAGTTTCTCGTGAAGTGCCTCTTCAGAGATTTGAGACAAGAAAATAATCCTCCACCCTAAAATACACGCACATACACTCTTGACCCTGGGGAGTGGGAAGAACACAGAGTGCACCAACTATGAATTCTATCTTCCACCACCCAGCCTCTCCAACTTGAATCCCTTTATTGCTTTTGATGGGTGAGGAACCAAGTTTCCAGTACCAGTTTCAAACCATCTCCTTTGTAAGTCATATGTCAGTAGTCTTCCTCATTTCATTGTATACCGGGAATAAGTAGAGTCTCTCCTCAGAGATCTGGCCAAACCTGAGGTCATAAGAGTTCTCTGTTAACAACAGTTGCAATCCTAGAACGAAAAGAAATTTGCAACTCTTTTATTCAACAATAAATCCTTCTTCTTATCTCTAAACTCTTCATAAACTTCACTTTTTTATTGCTGGTTGTACAACAGTAGATCTGTGATGAGGGTAATGACTTCCATTGTAAAGATATGCAAATGAATTCCAAGTGTGCTGTCAAATGATGAAAGGAAAAATGATGACAATTTTATTCTACTTGTTCTAGAGTAAACATTGGTAAACTAATTATACGATACACCTCCACTGAATATCTATGAATGGAGCAAGAGTCTCTGATTACTAGTTTTGTCTTTATTTCTATTTGATAAATTACATTTAATTACAGTGTAATTAGATAATACCTTTAGCATTAAAAAAATAAGCCATGTAATAAGGTATAATTTCTGAGAACAGCATAAATTCTAAAGATTGTAAATAAAGAGACCACATGATAACTGTGAATTCATCAGAACAGTTTGGTTTGTATATTTTTATAAAAGATTGCTTTGCATAATATGGAACTTTATTCAGTGTCAATTCTAGAATTCTTCATGAAAAAGCAATTGAAGAAACCAGTCTTACATGCAAATGCATTTCATAAGAGGTAAAATTTACCTAGCTAGTAATGAAGCCTTGAAAATTAAAAAAAAAAAAAATTACCCACCAAATTCTCTTCTAATTGAAGCAACTACTAATTAAATCAAGCACTTAACTAATCACAATTAAATAGTGAATTTCAAAGCCTCTCCTAGTTGACATTTACCAGAAATTATTTACTTTTCTCTCTTCAATCACCTGCCAACACCCACTGTTCTCTTGTATTTCATATCCAAATCAGCAGGGTGAGATATCTGAAAACCACTTTCAGCAAGATCCTTTTGTCCAAGGATGTATTTCCGTATGTCTTTGTGATGAAAATACAAGAAAACGACAGTGGCTGCTTTCACAACTCACTTCCCTATTCTGTTATGTAAATGCCACCAAAAAGCAGGCATGGCTATTGGCAGTTAACAGTGGTGACTCTAAAT